CGATCTCGTTGTGCAATGTTGATCTGGAAACATCACCGTTAGAGTAAGTATTAGTGTGGTTTTGAGAGCGGATGGCACGAAAAAAGTCCGCCCATGGTTAAAGGTGGAGATGATCAGGGATGTGGTGGGGAACAATAACTTAATGAAACGGCCTGCAAACCGCAAAACAGGGTCCCTGTTTTCCATATTAATTCCCGCTTTGGGCGAGTCACATGCATGCTGAAGTCTTCAATTTAAACGCTCTGATCCGCTACTCCACTGGATGCGAAGAGTCCGACGCGCGGGACGGTGGACGAGCAGAGGGACGAGCCATCGAAAGGGACGGAAGAACACGAATTTATCGTGTCACCTGCCTTTGAGCTGCGTTCTGATGAGCGTATTTAACTACATCAGTAACAGTCACAAGAATATCCAAAAGAGGTGGAGCTACGCTCAACCAATCTGTCGCTGATTACATCAAACGCAGCATTGCATGTAATTCCTAAGCCTCAGTTCTGATTTTTGGTCCTGTCTGGTTATTTCTTTTCTTACTGGTTTTAATATTTTTAGCATAAAAGACTGATGAAGTAATAGTTCAAAACATGAAACACATTCAAAAATTACCTTGTCTCCCAAAGTGAGAGCCATTCCTTGACTCTTAGCTCGGATTCGAATGTGCCCAACGATTGGAGATCCTTCATCGAGTGGCGAGGCTTTCTCTATTGAAACATTAGCTAAGGCGTCCTCGCCAAAGATGGAATGAGCACAGAGGTTAGCAGCCAAGAATCCACAATCTCCTTCTAAATGTGAGAACCATCAAACACAGAATATGAATTGAATATTGTTTAAGTGTGAAGTAATACAAACCTATTGCGGCATCACCCGTCAACACTTTCATATTCGTGACCGTTGACAAATAGTGCAGGAATTCCCGCAAATCGGTAATGGGTGTATTGACGGTCACCTGCAAATTCAGAACGTACAGGAGAATTCGCGTAAGAATATGCAATATTTTTAAGAAACCTTATTTTCCCACTCGAAATCGAACCACATCTGCCTAAACTCAGCATCAGTAACGTTGCCTGGGACTATGTAATCCTAAATTTGAATTCTCACATATTGTTCGAATTTGATGAAAACTAAAGTAGTTAAAAAAACAGGAGGACTAACCATAATGTCAATCTTGATGTCTTGAAGGTACACGCAATTCCTATCAGATGTTGAACCCCGGACGTCATAAGATATTGTTGAGAAAATGACGCCGTTTTCCGTCGAAGCAACTTTCACTGTGGCCTTAAACATCGATGTAACTGTCATGGCTGAACAATCCATAGCATGGAACGAAGTCAATTAGGTAAGTTTTGCTGAAGATCTGGGTCCATAGAACTTCAGGTCCACCGCTCAGCACCAGTAGACCCAAAGTTTGCTTCGCGCTGCGAAACGCGAAAAAGCTGCTTTCTGTCCTACTGAACCACACCACCTATTCAGTAGTAAATCACAAATAAAATATTTTGCGAGTCTTGAGAACATTTCCTTCGATCAATCCTCATCTTGTGTGAGTTTGGGAAAATCAGGGCACACAATTACAAATTCAAGAGAGAAACGATTTTCAAAAGGACAACATGCGAAACAGACGGAAAGGATTGTGACTTCGAATGGGCTTTTAGTGATCAATGACTACGATCCCTACTATGTGCACTATTTACCAAAAACTTCCTAAAGACGGCAAAAAAAACAAATGGTACAGATTCAACTGACAGGAAAAACAAAATACAGTAGATGTAGCAAAATCTACCTTTATATTAGCGAAGTCAGCTGGAGCCAATGTGATTGGTGTGGGTTTATCAACAAGTTTGAGGTCGCCAACCGTAGACAATTCCAGCGAGACGTTTTGCAAAGTGTCAGCAGTTTGATTTACAATGAGCACGTCAAGAACTGAATAACGAATAGCATGGTTAGCAAAACCCATTCATATTCATAATTTAATATCAAAAAACCAAAGAAGAAGATGGCAATAACTTACCGATGTCGTATTGGTTAACATTGACGTAAGCTTCAGCATATATAGGATCAGAGAAGCCAGCCAGTTGAATCACTTTGCCGAGCTTCGAGCTATAACAAGTGATATCTCAAGAAGCATAACAACATCTATTACAACCTTGAGTACAGAGAACAATAGGAACTGAAGTGGTACCCATTTACCTCGAGAAATCAAATCTCTGAGTTTTGGGAGCTGTTCCCAAAGCCTGAGAAAGAGAAAGATCAAAGAGATTCTCTCCGATGCTTGCGTCAGCTCGAGCGCTCAACTGGGTGAACATGATGGTTTTGTCTACCTGAAAAACTCTAAAATACCTTACAGAAACAGATTAAAATTTTAAAATGGACTAATACCTCAACAATATTCTTCTTCTTTTTCGTCGATATCTCGTCCGCTTTGTCCTGCTGACGACTTGACAACATGAGTTCTAGACTATCCTTGCATCTTTCAACGAAAACGTCTTCTAACTCAGAGCACCCCTGTGCAAGCAGCTTGATCGTTGTTCCCATCCTGAAATATTCCTGACCTAATGGTGAACGTGGGGAGCTGAATAGTGACGTGGGGAGCTGAATAGTGATACCTATCGAGATCATCCTCAGTAATGTTTTGCTTAGCAATGCCGCTCTTTCCAAGATTGATGATTGATGCGAGGATAAACATGCATTCTCCACGGAAGCGATTCGATCGCTGCGAATTTGCTAAACAAAAATGATTTTAAAAAAACTATTGTAATAATTAGAAAACAAAGAGAAACAAAAAACACCTTCGTTGTTTTTCGTGAACTGTTCCGCAAGTTTGTTGAGCACTGTGGCCAAGGAAGCGCCAAGGAAGAAATCTCCGTCGAGTAAAAATTGTCTGTAAACGAAATGTTAAGCTTTACCGTGGAATCATCAACAAAGACAAAAGGACATGATAATACACGTGGTGTACATACCTGAGAGGGGGCTTCTCCTTATTTACAGTTTTGGTCGAAACAGAGAGGGCCGATTGAGTCGCATAGGTTCCATCAGCCGTCACTAGCTTCTTTGGAGCATTCTTGAAAAAGGACATTTACCCTCTATAACGACCTCATATAATGCGGCATCAAACCTTTTTCTCTGTAGCTTCCTCTTGTGCTGGCTCCTCTCCTTCCACAAGACGCATTTCGGACTCCACAATCGGCAGCTCACCAAGAGAAGACTTGATTAGACGCAATACTGTCAATACAGCAGCGTCAGATTCGCAGTAAGTTCCAAGGATCCACAATGCCGCCATGAACACCTTCGGCTTGCGAATAGCAGGGAGACCTTCCTGAAAGAGAATGCAAAAAAGAATTAATTTGCAAGAGTTGTGGTTGTGACTAATGAGCTCAAAAAATGCGCAGGTTCTGAGCAACATCTATACTTAATCAGCGGCCAAATGACAAAATTCCTGAACATACCTGCAGAGAATGGAGAATTGTCTCTTTGAGGTGAGGAAGTTTGTGTACTGCTTCACGCACAAACAGCAAAACGTACTGCGCAGCCATTTCATTCTCATCGGAGAGGAATTCCATGAGAACTATAAAAATAGTGTTATAAATGGTGCCAGTCAGCCAAAACCATTAAAAAAACAAACAAATCAAACACACCAGGAACAATGGATGGAGCGACATCGGGAAACTTAATCGTAGCTGCGTGAAGAGTCTTGACAAGTGCTTGACGGTATCTTCCAGCTTCCTCAGCGGACGCAGATGTAGACTTCCCTATCTCCTGCAATGAGGACAAGTGATTATGACTGCGGCAGAGCTCTTACGAGTCGAAATAAGTAAAATTTCTGTGTATTTGTTTGTAGAGAGGTTTCTGTGTGGTTGCTTTAAAATAGGCACAGACCGCAAAATTCATGATTCAACAATTTTCCACAAGTGGAGCTTGTCTAACTTCTGAGAACTATCCTCCAGTTCACACATATCACAAATCAAGTTACGAAAGCCAGCATACTAAGCAGAAGGGTTTCATAACTGATGTTCCGACAGGGCTCAACGTGATAATTGCCACTTAGCTGTTAGGATCAAAACATGCTATTTACGTAACGTAAGTGAACCAACCTTTTTCAGAAACATGACCATGTCCTCGACATTTCTGCTCGAAACAAGGTCAAGGGCAAGATTGAGCGTTTTCTGCCGAACGTCAAGACCAGGAGACGACAATACCTGTAAGCAAGAGTGTAAGTCATTCCTAGAACGAAATAAATGTAAATAAATCCTAATCTCATGGTTCAAATTGTCCTTGGTGATTGTTCCCTCGTCATAACGGTACCCTCGTTTAGGAGAATCACCTCAATTTTCACCCCCACGTTATTCACGAATTCCCACCCTCAAAACTAAATAAGTAACCAGAAAAAAAGCATAGGTAATTACCCTCAGAATATCCATGACGAGTTCTTGCAGAACCTTTTCATGTGACGGCGTTTGACGTAGGTCCATCAATCTATCGAGAACGATCAGCTGAAATATCGTGACGATGGTGCAGTGGTACGCTAATGTAAGCCATATAAACCAGATCTTTCAACAGAACTGATACCTTAACATTGTTGTCGCTTTCCTTGACAATAAGATCAATGTATGCCGTAGCAGCAGCTTTGATAGCAGCGGGAGCGGCCGAAAGAGTAACAAGAGTACCAGCGGCTTCATATCTGAAATTTTGTTGAAAAATTGTAGTGTTACTTATGTTGGAAAGCACTTTTTGAGTATATTTACCTGACAGCAGCCGATGAAGACTGAAGGAGATTGTAGACACAACGTATAAAGCGCGACCTTTCAGCAGGGTTGGCATGGCACACCTTAAGATAAACTCTCAGGAAAAGTAAAACTCAAACAATGAAAAGCCCAGCTCCATAACAGTGAATAAGACATATAAAATGGACAGGATAACTTTGTACAGTTGCTTTAAAAAGCGTGCAGAAGGGAAACGTAACAAAGACCAGTCGAGTTCTGTTTTGAAAGCAACTACAAATACCTTGTATATAAGTTCCACGATTATCAACTGCAAGATGTCGCCAAATTGTGCCACTTGGTCAATGCAACCTAGAAATGAGGTTATCCCAAAAATATTAGATAATAATGGAAGCCGAAGAGTGGAAATAAAAAAAAACCGAAGAAAACAGCAGAAAATTAGAGAATTACAAAAATTTCAAAGGATGTAAAACTAGTAAATGATGCAACTTTTGTATATTTGCCTAAAAAGAGAATTAGCCTAACGAATACAGCAGATGATTAAGGTAAGGTGTTCGAAAAACCAAACGAGGACTCACCAGACAGATAGTCAAGGGCACGAGCTTGATCGACATGCAAAAGCATCATGAATGCATTCCGTTTGCAAGAAGCATCTTGTTCACCCTCAAGGAAGTTCGACACCAACTCAGGAGCATCAGGAATTAAAAACTCGAAATTCCCTGCAAAACCAGCACATAATACTCGCGAAATTTCGATGCTGTGGTGAATCCAAGTGATCTGAATCTTAGCAGCGTCATTCTACACTGAAGTTCGTATACGGTTCAAAAAGAACTTAATAATTACGAGCACTTTCTAAGAGCTATAAGGCGGCTCACTTCAGCACTGTACTTAATTTACATAGCATGACTTTTAAACGTTCGAACATCAGCGAATGCTTGTACCCCAAACAATACACAGGCCTTCAATTTAGGAAATTTGCATTCCTCTATTTGGGAGAATTCACTACCGCATGAAAATGGTGACTCACGGTAGATTGTGAAGATGGCACAAACAGCATTTCTACGCACGTAGGAATGACGATGCTCTAGACAACCGATTATCGAAGGCATCAACGGCTCGAGTAATTCAGGCTCCTTCAGCTTACACAAGAACCTGAGTATAGAGAGTATAACAACGACACACTATTCAGCGATTATGCTCACTAAGAATACCGCCATCGAGATTCCAGTTCAATGTAAATTAAAATGAAGAAATTCACCTCAGCGTAGAGCCACGAACGAATTCGTTGGGATGTTGAAGATCTTTTCTGTATGCATCGCAAACTAGAATCATTTCTTGGAGAAGTTTTCCTTGAGCATTAGTCTGTAAGCAAACATTTCACACTCTGAAACCAATGCAGGCGTAACAAAGCTATACCTTTGGAACAACTTCCCAAAAAATAAGCAAGGTCTTCTTCAGTGTATGGTCACTAGAGGGAAGCAGAAATCTGATGACGTACATCAGCATCCCTTGCCCAACTTTCTCGCCATTTTGTATCATGTAAATCAGCTTCTTCAGCGCATCTGTTTTCTCCTTATCACTACCTAAAACACTCGTATTTAATGTGAATGGGAGTAATCACCAGGAATGAATTTAATTAAAAAAAACGATACTATTCAACAATTATGTCTACAAAATATAATTTTTTTTCGTCGGAGCTTTGCCTTTATGTAGGAGTAACCAGGCGCGGTAAATCCAGTTTGGGGAGGGGGAGGCACTCCATTGTTTCTACAAGACTCAAGATCAGGGTCAAGCGTCCGTTGGACAAAGTCCAAGGGGGGTCGTATTCGGTCGATGAATAGGGGGTCGTATTTGCAGGGTCGGAGGCAGTGTCAGCCTACACCAACGGGGGGGTGTAGTGTGACGGTTTAAGCTTTGTGAGTGCTAATGTGAGTGGAGTTGGGTTGTGTCAACTGGTCTCAGAATCAAATACTGGTAAGGGTGGTGGTCGTTATTGGTGGACCTCCTGAGTCTCATGGTGGTGGAGGGGGTCGTGAAAAATTTCCAAAAAGTACCAACGGTAGGGTTGACCCTGGGGGGGTCGTATCGAGGCCCTCCAGAAGGGGGGGTCGTAAAATTTTTGAAATTTGTCCAACGTGACGGTTGACCCTGCTCAAGATAAGGATGAGAGCGCTCAGGACATGTAATCGACTCATTTGAGTTATACTTCTTAGCCATACTTCTTCGTAGGGAACGGTCCTGCACTAGGAGAATGGACATCTCTGCCTAGGCCTAGGGTGGACGATCTGTGCAGAAAAGTGGGTGGGATGTGGCAGGAATGTAGGACATCCACCGGTCCTTATCAAAAGTACGCTCGAAATGAGTCGTTCACTTATTATCTTATCCGTAGTGTTCGATAGCCCAAAGAACTGCTCTCTAGTACTACGGATAGCAAGAACTGCCCCTCCCCCCCCCCCCCCCCAAGAGCTGAATTTTCATCCTAGGCGCTCAGGCCACTTGATACAATTTCCATCATACTGACGCGACAACAGTTTTAACCTAAGGCTGATGTCAGAGTCCGCGATCCGTCGCAGGTTTCGCTGATTTTCGCGATTTGCGCGATTCACGCGACGGATCGCAAAAATTGCAAGTGTGTGAACATTTGAAACACTGAATATGAAACAAGTGGAATCATGAGCAGTCATTCAGCCATCACTATCAAGCAGAAGTGGCGGCAGGATTGGAGAACACCTTGCAGTATTGATCGGGCACTTGTGATTTCCGTGACCCGTCGCGTGAATCGCGCAAATCGCGAAAATCGCGAAAATCGCGCAAATCGCGCAAATCGCGACAAATCGCGCAAATCGCGCAAATCGCGTGAATCGCGCAAATCGCGAAAATCAGCGAAACCTGCGACGGATCGCGGACTCTGACATCAGCCTAATTCACCGCATTGCAATTTGCAACGTAGGCGTGGTGTTATTCAGTCCCCTGATTCGATTACAGCATTCATGTCTGATAATACCTATCTTTCGCGCAATTAAGCACGATATTGGGGCCAAAAAAGGACAGAAGAGAGAGAAGATCTCAGGACACTATTTACCCTTTACTGCCCCACTCCTCGAGAACTGAGCCGGGTTTTTGTCCATTGACTGTGAATTTGGCCAGAAACTTGTCTTCGGGGGTAATTCGACCCGTAGAACACGAATATCACATTTGTTTACCGCTAGAACGCCTGGCGCTCGCGTCAGAAGCGCCGGCGCCAAAAGGCGCCAGAACATCTCGGATCACCAAATTCGCTGGAAACTTGTCCTTCAGAGGTACTTTGACCCGTAGAACATGAATATCACATTAGTTTGTTGCGAGTGAGCCTGTAGCCTGCGCCCGCGCAAAACTGTTGTGATAGCGCCGGCGCCTGTGGCGCGGGCGCCAAGCGTTTTCGCTCTAAACCGGTGTATATTCGTGTTCTACGGGTCAAATTACCCCTGAAGACAAGTTTCTAGCCAAATCCACAGTCATGGACGAATTTCGATCAAAATCCGGCTCAGTTCATAAGGAGTAGGGCAGTAACCTCAATGGTCCTGCCGCGATGGCTAGAGCACAGACGATTAGAGAACGGGTGAATGCCCTAGGACTAAGCCTTGGAGAGGAGAGGGACCCGCGAGAGAGCGCAGAGGGGTTTGAAGGGCTGAGTTCAAGTAGTCCGTGGACCCAGTAAAGGGTAAATAGTGCCGATCTCAGATTCGTGATCAGCACATTGAAGTACTCCTGCAAACGAACTTTCAGCCCAAAAACCTTTGTGACCTTTTTGAGCTCCACCACGGCGAATCAGGTTGTAAGTTGTTGAATGCATATAAACGGCAACTTGCTGTCACGATGTTCCCGGTTGTGGCGGTTTCAGTCTTCCCCAGGAGCATTACCCTACTTGATTCAGTCTCTGGGGACAAAAAAGGTTTGCGTCATAGGACCTAGCATACCTCTGTGTTTCTACCTGCCAGACAGTTAGAGCAGCGCTACTACCCTCCACTGATGAAGCACTTTCCCTGAGGGGTCGCGCTGCTCTAACTGTCTGGCAGGTAGAAACACAGAGGTATGCTAGGTCCTATGACGCAACCCTTTTTTGTCCCCCCAGAGGATTGAATCAGAGTAGGGGGATATATCCCCCTGGGGGGAGGATTGAATACCGCCATGGGTTTAGGATACTTTGATTTT